CTTTGTTGTGGTGTGAATTGTGAACTGCCCACATTGTATATATGAATGCAAGCAAACCTCCCTGAGGCTTACGTTTATTTATTTGTACGACTTTTGTCTTCAAAGACTTAAAATAGAAGACATTTTTAACTTTTTACATTAAAGCCTCACTGAGACGCTCTTGACACATTAAGCCTAGTTTATACTCGCGCGGCGCGGAGCTTACGGAGGTGACGTGACGTCACTTGCGCAACGCGTTGGTCACCGCAAGGCCCTTACGTCGCCTGCCGCGCAGCATCAAAATTTTTTAACTACGTAAGGGTCGCCGCAAGGAAGCTCCGCTGTGATTGGTCCGTGTGTGTGTATTGGAAGGAAGCATGAAGCGGCTGCAGCAGGAGCATGGACGAGGCACTATGGAGCAGAGAGCTTTGTGCTTCGAAGGAAAAGCAGTTTGGGCTCAGAGCCTGATATACAGGAGACAGTGGACTATCTAACATATATATAACTTATATAGATGTTATATATATGTTAGATATAACTTATAAACTGTGCAGTCGTTTGTTTTGCACTGTTCCTGTCTTTGTTTGAATCGTAGCTGCGTTTGTTGCTTTCCTCCTGCACTCGTGAATCGTTCATGTTTGTCTCAGATATTTACCACTATTATTGTTTTGCTGTTTGTGCTGAAAACTATTTAATAATAACTATGTTTCCAACAAGAACTGTGTCTTTATTCACAGCATCACAGTTGAAATGACTTATAAAATAATGAATCCATAAAACTATCACATAAACCTACAGTAGAAACACGTGTAATGAGCTCAAACAGCTTTGTTTGTTATTGTTGTTCTGAAGAGGACAAAGTAGCAGCGTAATGGGACCGCTCCTGTGTGATCGCCCTCATGTGGTTTGTTGTGGGATTACAACATTCTCCTCAAAACTCCGTAAGGGGAACGCGCCAGTATAACATCCATTGTGCTTACGTAGGTCCACCGCAACCGCTAACGTAAGCCACGCCGCGCAAGTATACTCTAGGCTTTATGCTCCTTAATTGTTCAATTCTAGTCTTCTTCCATGCAATTTGTTGTTGTAATATGTATGCCATAGGATTTTTTTGTTTTCCATGAAGGCTAGTCAACTGGACCATATATATTTATTGGTAGCTTAAGCACTAACTTTGGATTCGTAGTTCAGTACAGCTCAGGAAACAATATTACAATTCTGAGGTGATCCGGATCACTGTCTCAAATCTGGAAACACAATCTTCTTTATGATATGTAACTGCCATTGTTTTACTTTTGACTTCAACTTTCAGCTAAAGGTCAATTTGCATGGATATTTTTGTTTGTTTGTTCACGAGAACACTACCTTGCACTATTAAGTGTGATGCATTGCCTATACTTTTTTAGCACTCATAGCTTGGGATCAGCCTACATATGAAGCCGTTTGAGTGATGCTTGGGCTATCTAATGCGCAAGTGGGAGGCAACATTTGTAGTGCCATGGATTTTTCAGTCTCCAGCAAGCGGCCTACTTAAAGGCTCTTTCTAGATGCCTCCTCAATCTCAGTCACATTACAGCCCCAATCTGTCTTCATACTTGGGGGAATGCTGAGGTACATAAAGAGGCTGGCTGAAGCAACAAATGTTAATTTAACACTTGAGTAGAATTCATTCAAACACTTTCTTCTTATTAAATTCAAATCACTCTACTTTATTCTAGTATAGCCTTAAATCACAACAGTAGGCATCTCAGAGGACTTAACAGAACCGTTGAAATTGCCAACACAGATCAGAGAATCAACAGTTACACAAACAATACAGAACACATTTATTGTGTTTTGGTTTTGCCTAAAGCTGGGTGATTAAGATGAAGAGATTCATCAGTGTTGTATCACAAGTTACACAAGAGTAGGAATGAGCACACAGCGCAAAATAAGTGAACAATAGCTATGCTATTTAAAATAAAACAAAATCTATGACAAAAAGTAAAATCTAAAGTAAATTGTCCCCTTTAGATGATTTACAATTTTCAAACTATTCTAAGCCCCCGAAATGTTCGAGATGGAACAATACATTTCAAACGATCATAAAAGATTTGTAAAGACTTAATTATGATCAATGCTGTGTCTTTTCTGTCCTATATACACATGTGGCCTGACCCCACTAAACTGCAGAGGCCCAGAAAAGCAGAAGCCAATTTCACAATTTTAAACTTGATTACCAAAAGGGTTGATTTCATTTCCTAGTCCTAGTTTTGCCTAAAGCTTTGCAGATTCATGCGAGAAGACGTATTTTATTATCAGGTGACCGCACCATGAGCATATTTTGAGTGCGTTTGAGAATTCAGTTTTCAAAAGTGATTTGTAATCTACTCCATTTTAATTCTATTGATAGACTCCATGCATGCCAGTTGAGTTGAGAGAAACGCTGCGATTGAGTGTGCACGTCAGACAATAGGCAGAGATGCATGGAACAAAGAAGACTTTTTTTCGGGTTCACTACTCATTTTGTTTTTGTTATGTACAGCAATTACAAAACTTGACATAACATGAATCATTCTCCATGTTAATCGAGTATCACGGTGGCTGAGTGGATAGCAATCTTGCTTCTCAGCAAGAAGGTCCTGGATTCAAATCTTGGTCGGAACAGGGCCTTTCTGAGTGGGGTTTGCATGTCCCCGTTTTTCTGTAGGTTTCCTCCAGGTTTCCTCCGGGTGCTCCGGTTTCCCCTACCACTAAAAACATGCACAAAAAGTATGAATGTAGACGAGAGAGTGAATGGATGGTGCCGGTTGGGGCTTTGATGCGCCAGTGTGTTCGGCGACTCGCTTCCATCCTCATCGTGTGTGGAATGATTGTAACAATATCTTAATTCTGAACATTGTAAAGCGCTTTGGGTGACCTTTGCCTGTAAAATGTGTAAACTGTGCTGGATTATAAAGCATCAGGATTGAACCATGTGTCTCCCTCATGTCTCCTCCCGAAGCGCGACTAAACTCTCTAAAATAAAGCTTGGGTATGACCTACATTTTTCCTAGGATTGACAATGCAGGTTGCTTGTTTGCAAAAGTAAAATGTTGTGAACAAATATAACAGAACAAACCACAACAGGCATCTTGTTTTTTTTATTTTTGCATACTTAAGTGAGACATTATTTGACTTTTTGGGCTGAGATTTTTTTTCCACACAGTTGGTGCCAATTTATTGCCAAACTCTTAACTTATTGTTATGTAAAATATTTTTTATTCTCACGTTCTTTTGGTTCTTTTGTCTTTCCTATATGTGGAAGTTGTAGATTTGTTGTATTCTACTAAAGGTTTATAATACTCTCTTAGGGGGTGGTTCTAAAGCCAGCCATAGGTTTTACAGGTATGTGTTACCAGGCATTTTAGGCCTAAATGGGTTAATGGGTTCACATAATGAATCTCATTGGACATTTGAGAAGCAAGCATACAGCAATTTGCATGAAGCTGAAGAAAACGGAAAACTGAGGTTGCCAAGAAATACATTTTAAATATATATTATATTATATTATCCATCCATCCATCCATCCATTTTCTACCCTTTAATCCATTTCTGGGTCAGTCTCATAGCACCAGCCCCTCACTGACCCTCTGCAGGTGGTGAGTCCACAGGAGGACGGCTGCTCTGAGTGTGAGCATAGCCTTGATCTTTCAGTGGGGGCTTTTGGGCAAAGTGGGGTTAAGTGTCTTGCCCAAGGACACAACGACAGCAGTCATCAGTGGGAGTCGGTGGAGAAGGTGCAGAGGTGGGAATTGAACCCACGACCTTCAGGCCTTAAGGCCAATGCTCTACCAACTGAGCTACTGTCGCCCCGGATATATATTATATTATGATGAATAAAATTAAAATCGGCCAAACATTGGCCAAGTTTTTCACAATCGTGCGTCCTCAATTTCTACGTCTGGAAGGACCTGTACTGATTTCCATATACGCCAGTCAGGTGTATTGGCTTGGAGGGCAGTTACAGATATCTTTGATTGAGATGTTTTTTGTTTTCTTTAGAGGAGCGGGTCAGATTGAAATGAACATTGTGCAAAACACAAGTTTTCCTTAAACTAGGTAAACTACACTTGAAATAGACATGGACATGAGGAGCATGATCCTGGCGACTTGAGTCCAGGAGGAACTATACTGTCCTAACTAATCCCTTCCCTGTGGAATAGTATCGAAGTAGTTGCAAGAAAGTGATTGTCTAATAGTTCATTGCCATTCCTGGCTCACATGTGGTGCAGTGACTGTCATGGTGCTCCGCAGCCTATTCTGACTGCCCTACACTGCTTATGCCCCCCTCTTATGTTTAATTACTGCACGAACATGCTTTCTGGTATGTCTTCAAAGTGCCATAATGTGAGTTAGGTGTAAAGGAAAGTGGGGGAAGAGGACGGAAGTTAATAAGGAGCGTTAAACCGTGGGCATGAAGAAGACGCCCCGTTTTATTTTTTTAATTGAGTAACTGCATATGCCATCCTTCTTATGCCATCTTTCTGCGAGATTTTGGCAGGTTTTAACACTTTCATCAGTTGTCAAGTGGTATACCTAGTTTTGTTGTCTCTTGGTGGTTATTACCCATTGTGTATTTGCATAATTTGTAGTATTTGAAATATTTGCTTTTTAAGTTTTGTACTTCTTCTTCCCATCTTTTTTTTCCTCTTCATTTCTTTTGAATGTGTTTATTTGCATTTGTATTTGCAGTTTAAAGTACCTCTAAAACTTTCATTGATTTTCAATAGAAACTTTTTCAGTTTTATTTTCAGAAATTTTCACTTTTATAATGGTGTGTAATAGTGTAATAAAGGTATTGTAAATTTATCTTTGTATATTTTGATCTTTCAGTGTTTTGTACCTTTTTCATTGTTTATGGTATGCAGTCAGGCACAATGGCATCTAGTGTTGTATGTGTTCCTGTGTAAACCACAAATCTGTACTATTTGATTGATAATGTACCAATGTACTGCTGTGTGTACTATAATGATTCTAACTCCAGTTTGTTCTTATTACAGGTCATGCAGATTGTCAATGCTGACGCTATGGTGGTCAAGCTTAACTCCGGAGAGTACAAAACCATTCATCTGTCCAGCATTCGGCCTCCCAGGATTGAAGGAGAGGTATTCAGTTTTCTCAAAACCCCCAACACATCCATGTAATTTCGCCCTCTCATTTTCAACGTTAAGTATCATTTTTCCTCCACTGGACACAAATGTCCGTCAAAACGACATAGAATGTTGAACACAAATCACGTGTCGCCTTTAACACATAATTAGGAAAAATAGAGTGAATTCCTTCCATGCATTAAATATAGTTTTGTACTGAATTTATTTTTTCTTATAACCGGTATAATAGTAATACACTCCTTAAAAAGTCAATCAAGAGTTTTGCACTCTACACAGAGGAAAGCTCTGCATGTAACAATTACAACATTAACAACTCTTCAAAATGTAAATATTGCTGTCAACTCTCTGCACACTGTTCACTTTTTGATCTGTGCAACAATTTCTTGTTAAACCTGACTAAGGTTTAGGAGGGAAATTTGTCGCATGCATAAACTCTTATTAATGTCTAAGTAACAAAATGTCTACCCTATGAAATTTGGCACAGTTTGTTGAAATAGTATCATATTCCACTTTTGCATCCAGTGTCATCCATTCAATTTTAGATTGACAAAACATAGACCTGATATACAGTATAGACTCACTTCATGCCCAATAATATTAGTCATGTACAGAAAGTGTGTATACAGATTCCAAATGACATGCTCAGAATAATCTGAGATTTGGCTTAACTACAATTGTGTGTACGCAAGTGCTTACTTCCTCTTGAGCTCTGTAGAGAATTTCTAGTGCCAGTTGTCATCATCGTCTCTGTCTAGATGTTGCTTTTTTGCTCTCTTCACCATTTCTTTCTGCAAGCTAAGTCCTCTTTATTTGTAGGACAGTGTGTGTCTCTGTGTATGTACAATTTAAAGAGCAACTGAGGCCAGATGTGACTCCCGAATGCAAATGAACAATGACAGTTTCTGCTAATCTCCTCACCCACAATGTGTGTTGCAATATCTATTTTCTTCCGCACACACGAAAGCATGCTGGCTTCTGATGCATGTCACATGTGTTCTTTCACCTTTGATTGACTGGACATTGACAGGGCAGTTTGGCTTGGCATTTTCCTCTCAGTTTGCATGACGCCCTTAGTCTTAACAATTGTAAATACTATTCTTCTTTGGTTCTCTTGAAATGGATTGGTCAAACATAGATTAAATGTCACATCTAAACATCATTGCTCCACGTTTCATCCTCAATGACCACAAAGCCCTGCAGCTTTGTGTAGTGCAGTCTTTTGCCTAGTGTATAGTCGCGCGACGCGGAGCTTACGGTGGTGACGTGACGTCACTTGTGCAATGCAAGGATCACCGCAAGACCCTTGCGTAGCCTGCTGCGCACCCCTTAAATGTCTAACTACGCAGCCGGCGTCACAGACAAGCTCCACTGTGATTGGTCCATGTGTGATTACTTTCTGGAAAGCATGGGGCGGCTGTAGGGAGCATGGACGAGGCACTTCGGAGCTCTTTGCGCTTCGAAGGAACCGAAGGAAAAGCAGTTTGGGCTCATGGCCTGAAATACGCAGAGACTGTGGACTAGAGTTCTGTTGCATATCTAACATATATAACTTATAAACTGTGCAGTTGTTTCTTTTGCACTGTTCCTGTCTTTGTTTCAGAATCAGAATCATTTTTATTGCCACGTAAGTAACAGGAGGTCACAGACTAGGAAATTGCTTTGGCTCAGTGCAACAGTCAAAAAGAGATAATAAAAATAAGAATAAAAAACACTTCTAAAGAATAAATTTAAATTTAAAATAGAGTTACAGTTACTATTTACAATATACAAGTGCACATGGTGCACACAATGTAAGGTGAACAGCAGTACAGTGAAGTAAAGTGACGTATGATGGGCAGTAAAGTGACTTTATAAAGGGCGGGGGGACAGGTTAAGAAGTGTTCAAGAGTCCAACAGCAGAGGGGAAGAAACTGTTCTTGTGGCGGGAGGTTCTAGTCCTGATGGACCGCAGCCTCCTGCCTGAGGGGAGTGGTTGGAATAGTCCATGTGCAGGGTGAGAGGGGTCGGCTGTGATACGACCAGCCCGGCCTCGAGCTCGGGCGACGCACAGGTCCTGCAGCGATGGAAGGCTGCGGCCGATCACTTCCTCTGCAGAGCGCACAATGCGCTGTAGTCTCTGTTTGTCCCTGACTGTGGCTCCAGCGAACCACACGGTGACGGAGGAGGTGAGGATGGACTCGATGATGGCCGTGTAGAACTGCACCAACATCTGTGCAGGCAGCTTGGCTTTCCTGAGCTGCCGCAGGAAGTACATCCTCTGCTGGGCCTTCTTGATGAGGGAGCTGATGGTCGGCTCCCACTTGAGGTCCTGGGTGATGGTGGTGCCCAGGAAACGGAAGGACTCCACAGAGGTGATGGGGGAGTCCATCACGGAGGGTGGGGGCGGGGGGACAGTGCTCTTCCTGAAGTCCACAATCATCTCCACTGTCTTCTGGGCGTTCAGCTCCAGGTTGTTACCACTGCACCAGGACACCAGCCGGTCCACCTCCCTCCTGTAGGCGGACTCATCGTTGTTGGAGATGAGTCCAATGAGGGTGGTGTCGTCCGCGAACTTGATCAGCTTCACGGAGTCGTGGCTGGAGGTGCAGTGGTTGGTGTACAGGGAGAAGAGCAGGGGAGAAAGAACACAGCCCTGTGGGGCTCCTGTATTTATAATCCGAGAGTCCGAGACATTCTTCCCCAGACGCACTCGCTGCTTCCTGTCCGTCAGGAAGTCAGTGATCCACCTGCAGGTGGAATCGGCACGTTGAGCTGGGAGAGCTTGTCCTGGAGCAGGGATGGCAGGATTGTGTTGAAGGCAGAGCTGAAGTCCACGAACAGGACCCTGGCGTAGGTCCCCGGGGAGTCCAGGTGCTGTAGGATGTTTGAATCTGCACTCGTAGCTTGTCGCGTCTGTTGCATTCCCCCTGCACTTGTAAATAGTTCATGTTTGTCTCAGATATTAACAACTTATTGCTTTGCTGTTTGTGCACGAATACACTTTAATAATAACTATGTTTCCAAGTAGAACTGAGTCTTTATTCAAAACATCACTGTTGAAATGACTTATGAAATAATGAGTAATGAATAATGAGTCCAGAACAATCACATAAACCTGCACTAGATACACATGTAATAGGCTTGGTTTGCTATTGTTTTTGTTCTGAAGAGGAGAACGTATCAGCGTAAATGGGACCGCTTTGGTTTCCCAGGAAACTCCTGTGAAATTGCCATCACGTGGTTGGTTGTGGGATTACAACATTCTCTTCAAAACTACGTAAGGGGAACGGGCAAGTTGTCGAGCAACTGTGGCTGCGTAGGTCCAACGTAACCTCAACCACAACCGTAACCAGCACGGCGCGAGTATACACTAGGCTTTAGAGTGGGAGTGTATAATTTGGAATGAAAGAAATTTACCCCAAATAGACCAGAAGTCTAGTCCCACAGTCTGAGGGCAGGAGAAACCTGTTATTGGGGCAGGCTTCAGACATGATTGTTCAGTTTGAAACTTTGTATCTTGGTATGCCTTTACCCTGTAGTATGTTTTGGGTAACATCTTTAAAATATATGCTTTAATATATCGCATGGCGCCGTAAAGATGGCGCCGTGGCAAGAGCTCTGGTGTGTGTCTGGTGCACACCGGGGTAGTCTTGCACAGTTTTTCCAATGTGGTTTTACTGCAAATGGCAAATAAATGAATCTGAATCTTAAGTTTAGTGTCTGTGTAGCTGCTACATGTCCAACCGCTCTCCCCTTCCTTTTCTTTCTCACTGCTCCTGTTCTGCTCTCTAGATTTGTTAAAATTCAACTACTTTCTCAATTCTCAGTCATGCCATACTACTCTGATGGGGTCTGATGGGGTCAGGTATAAAAGCGTTACAGTACATGTGATACATTTCAGAATTTCAGGTCCTCTTTCTCTTAAGATAGACTTCTTTTAATTTTTATATTTTATTATATAAAATTATAATTTTATATTTAATTATAGTATTAAAGCCCATCAGATACACACAATCTGACCTTGACAAATGTCATTTAAAGCAGCATGTTTGAGTGAAACTGTATAGGCCGAATCACATCTGTTTTTGGCTTTAAGATATAACATGCTATTGACATGCTATTGAGTTTGATCAACAAGAAATGAGAACTGAACTTCTTAATTGCTCTTTAATATACCTAATTCTAGTGACGGCTTACGAGTCTAATCCTCAAATGCGGTAGGTGGAGGCTGTTTTCCAACTGGCTAATGTTTGAGAACTGCTGGTTTAGGACAAATGTCTGCATACTCCTGTAATCCCTCATCATTAGGTGTCTCTGATTGTCAGTATTTCTTGTTTTCAAATGGTTTCACCTTCTGCTCAGCATCTCTATTCCCCAAAGTGCTGCTGTGTAAGATGGGAGCCTAGTACCTTTCGTCCTCCGTGTCTGCTTCTCCAGTTCTTGTGCCTAATTGGCAAAGAGTGCTGACATTTACACTCTTTGCCCTTAGTGACATGGTTCTTCTCCTGTGTGAAAAGCCTTATTAGGTAGACATGATTCCCCTTTCCTCAATAGATTTCAGGGGGGTAATGTAATTCTGAAATCTTCCCCAGCCAGCAAAAAACTGCAAAAAAACAATCACCATAGGCAGAACTAATCTTTATTTATGTAGAATCTCTCTTGTTTTATGGCTTAAATATTGTAGCACTCTGTAGTGAATGGGTTTCCATAGTGTGCCCTCGTGGCTTTGAAGGATGGGTCAAATGCAGTAGAAAATTGTATGTAGGCGGACAATAGTGTATAGGCTACACTCTTGCCCTACACTACACTCTCCAGCTTTATTCTTGGTTTACAAGTGTGAAGGGGACACATATAAGTGGGAATTAAACTTGTAAATGAACACACATCTGAGTATATATTATTTTGGCTGATATAAAGTGCATGCCTATACGCACAGCTTGTGTTTTACGTGTCTCCCCTTTGTATGTCACATTAGTGTATAAGGCACTCTATATGACAGGACTATGGCTGTAATAATACACCTACTCACGAGTCAAAAAAGGTTTCGTACATTCACCTTCCTAAAAATGTTATTTTGTGTAAATAATTTCATTTAAGCATTAAAACCATGCATGGTTTGCCTCCCACTTTAAATAATAATTCATTTAACTAGACTCAAAAAACTCAAAACAAAGTATATATGAATGAAAACAAATGTATAAATTAATACTGGTGACTGTGAGGACCTTCCTGTGCAAACAAAGCCAATAGGGACATTCATCCATAATAAAAAACTTAAGACACAAAAAAGTAGTACTAGTGTAAAATTTACAGGTCATGCTCCCTCAGTCGAAGCAGACCGTTCCACAATGAGCTGTTTTTTTAAAATGTGAATTGAAGTGGAGAGGAAGGTGGATGCTGCATTTTTTTTGTCCTGAAGGTTGCACATTGTAATGTCAGTGCAGTGTGTAAGCTGTCTGTGCAGATCTCTGACTGAGTGAGGCTTGCTCTTGTCCAATGATATTGCTAAATTGATAGTGAGAAGTGATATAGAGTATATATTTAAAACATAATAAACAATTTATTTTTGAAATGCATGCAAGTGTGCATAATTTACAGGAGAAAAAGAGGAGCTGTTGACATTTTTGAGAAGACATTTTCAGATGAGATGGAAAGTGAGTTTGATCAATTATGGAACCAAAACATTTGCATGAGTGTACCCTTTCTATTGCTTCTTTGTTGCCAGTCTATGTGACAGTTGTGGAGTGTCCATGATAGAAAAACAAATCTTTAGTCTTGGAGATATTTAGGTCCAGGCTGTTTTCTCTACACCACAGCGAGAAGGCGTCCAGTTCAGTTGTTCTCGCTGAACTTTCATGTGATCTTGATTCCGACTGGGAGGGGAGTTTGTATGTTCTCCCCTTGTTCCAGTTTCCCCTACTACTAAAAACATGCACAATAGGTAAATCCTCCAGCTCCGGTAGCCCCGACCAAGCTGAGAATCAACATCTGGAGATGGGTTCCCTGTACTTTGGTGTACTATGATGACCACCGCTCCAGAGGCCCTAGTGGCTTTGCAGGATGGGTCAAGTGCAAAGGACCAGGTTCCCTCTGAGGATCAATAAAGTTTTCATTCATGTTAATGTTCGATGTGAGCCAGTGGATATCGTCCTGATGAAGTGAGTGTTGTCATTCACCCTAACCCTCTAATCCCTCACCATGACAAAGGAGAGGACTCAGATGATTAGGTGAAGATTGGCATTCATTAGGAGCACTTTAGGTTCCTTGAGACGTGGGTGAAAGGTGTTGAATGCACTTAAATGGGTGATTGTTTATGCAGCACGGTCAGGATGGCAACATCTACGCCTCTGTGTAGCTGACACACTGAATGCGCACAGACATGAGCCTGCATCCTGCACTTAATAAGTTGTCCCCCATCTACACATGTTCTCTTCCTTCAAAGGGTGGGTCGGTGAACATGTCTGTTTAGGGCCTAGTAAATTACTTAGTAGCAACCTTGAAAATATTCTCCCAATCCTGAAGAATATAAGTCAATTGATTAAATAGCTGTTTGATATATTTTGTTGTGTTATATGCTCCTGTGTTTTTGTTTTTCAATGAAATGTTTGAGACTTAGATCATGAAAGTAGGGTATTTGACTTATAGCACGCAAAGATGAGTTCTAATACCATTGTTTTCTGAACTTTTAAAATGTTCCAAAAAAAACTCACCCGGAAGCCAATTAGTAAATGGAGTAGTAGTAGTAAATGTCAATGACTGTCAATTATTCTTTCATGTGAAATGTTCTTGAAATGAGTTAAACATGCTTTAGAGTTTGTGTACACGAGTTTGTACGCCTGAGAGATGAGCTGTGGGCATAAAATGGGGTGTATCATGTGTATCTTTTGTTTTTAAGTTTTGTCACAACCTCGCTGAGTAAAATTACACTCATTTGGCAATGAGAAAATACCACTCATTTCTAGTAGCCGTACCATATGTTTGCAAATTACAGGCAGAATGTAACACAATTTCTGACCAATTTCATGAATTCATATTATTATTTTGTGTTTTTAGGAGAAGAATAAGGATAAAGACAAGCGTTTCCGTCCGCTTTATGACATTCCCTACATGTTTGAAGCCCGCGAGTTCCTCCGGAAGAAGCTCATTGGGAAGAAGGTGAGATCCTGTTAATATGATACTTTACAAGGTTAAGTAGCTTTTTAAATGTTTATCTCGAGGCTATTCATATATTAAAATACACTTTCTCATTTCATCAGCAGTTGTATAATGTCTTAAGCATATCTATTTTGATATTGCTGTGAATAGAAATTGCGCAGATGCCTACAGGCTTTGGCCTGCATGCACCCTTTAAAAAGACAATGTTAATTTGCTCCCCACGTGTCTGTTGGACGCCTTCCAGAGGGCGTGATTTACAGAGTTGACCCAACAATCTAGAGCACTTCACATTTTATTTCCTTTTTCAACTGATTAGTTATTATGTTATCTAAGTAACTAGTAAGTATACTATTAGTTTGTTTTGTTATGTATCTTCCTTTGTTGTTCATTACATTTCTTCCTTGGCAATAAGGTGAAATATACATTATTGAGATGTGGGGGGTGTACACTATTGATCAGGGTCACCCAAAAAAGACCTGGCCTTTTGTGTACATTATTTGCCTTTGTGTACAGTATTTACCTCAACCAATCAAGAAAGTAAGTGATGCCAAGGGCTGTCAATTATCCTGAGTGCTGTGCGCTCATACTCGTAACCGCTCGCATGCTCAGTTGTTTGTTTTCACGGAGCCTCCGAATCAAGCCGCCACCAGCGCAGCCATGGATCAACACTCGGCTCATACCAAAAATGCCTCCTCACCTTCGATAACTCTATTGTTGACACTGGTTGTTTTCTCTTTCTCCTCCGTACGTCTTGGCCCATTGACCTGCCGCGTGCACAGAAAAGTAGGCGCGGCTTCGAGACCATTTAGAAAGGAAGGGGGGAGGGAGCTTGGGTCGTTTATTTTTTGTAATGTATTGATAATCCATGATTAATGGATTAACTGTTAACACCACATTTGACAGCTCGACAAAATAAAATACTTGGCACACAAATACAATTGTCTCTCTAAGCCTGTTGGATGTTACAAAGCATTACACGTGATTCTCACTGAGCTGATCCAAAGCCTCTGTTTCTAATGCCACTCTCTTCAGAAGAGTAAAGCTACATTAAATGCGTAGCCATCCATATTGTCTAAAGAGCTTTTGCTTTTTACAAAAGTGTATGAACCGATTGGGCATGCTTTATTATGGAAATGGGGTGTGGTCTTCTGATGAAGCTGGGAAATATGCCAAAAAAAGATTAGAATATTTGTTTGGATAATTTTGATTCAGCCCCCAAAGACCACTGTTTGTCTTCAATTTCAGCAATGTTTATTGTCAAACGCAATTAAACACCTCTTTGGTGGCACTCTTACCTGAACTTGTGCATTTTGTCATGTATACAACAATAAACATATCAATCTGATTAATTCTTTTTCATTTCATCATGGAAGGTTTACGCACAAGTATCAGGCAACTGTGAAGTGAAAGAAAAATCATGCATGGTTTTGTTAATAAAAGTAGAGTAGATTATACGGAAAAGTAGAGATACATCGGCTGAACATCGGTATCGGCCGATGTTTGCGTTGTTAACTACCGTTGGCAAATAAAAATTACATTCACGGATGGTAGGCGCGTGCAAAACGATACCGGTAGAGGGCGTCCGCGCACTTTCCTTTTTAGTAGAAGAAACAAAGCAAACAATATATTACAGTATGAGAAACAGAACAGCGATATGCAATTTGTGATACTTGGTGCAGTGAGATTTAAAGAGGGTGGACTGCTAGAAAATCATTTAATACATCAAATCTCATTGGACATTTGACGGTCAGTGTGGATTCTTGGTAGGTGGCAGAGTCTTTGTAGATTTGTAGTGGTGCTATTCTTTCTGTTCATGAGTGCCATTTAGTGACCAGTACAATCCATATATATCCCCAGAACAGCTGTAATTATACTGAGTAGATTACACACAGATGGGCACATTTGAACGTTGGAGCAAGGTGTGAACATTCAGCAGTTATTGGGAATGTTTGAAAGACATTTTAATGAGCTCCGAAAACTGCTGTATGAATAATGCCCCACTTTTCACCTCTTTATTTCAAGTTTCCACTTGTTTTCCACTGTTACTGTTACTAATAATAAAAAATCAGAATATATTCTTTAATGTTTGTACACATTTTTAAAATCTCGTGTTTTTAATGTAATATCACATGAACTGTGAATGGTTTCATTATCTTTAAGGGCCAAAACAATGTTGTGTATTGTGAGGTAATAAAATGGCTGTAAAAAACTAGAATTTTTACTAAAACTCAAAAGTGTCAATAGAAAATGTGTGGCAAAATCTTAAACTTGGAGCTATAATTGTAGAACAAGTGGGTCCACAACATGACGCTGAATACTTCTGCAGGTCACAGTTTTCCCTGTTGTATGATAAAAATAGACTATCATGTATAATTTTGCTTTTTGTCGCTCATTCACAAAATAAAACAAAATGTAATGTTTTTTTATTCAACTTTTTTATATGCTGAATATTTTTCAAGGCATTCTTAATATGGCATTTATTACACACACTTTCACAAATTCATCGTCTCATTCGCATGTGTATATATTTTACACTTTTTGAATTGACAGCACTTTCTTGGTGACCTAATCCCAAAATGCATGATATGGCTAACTTTGTAAGTAGTGAGTCTTGTGTGCTTGGGTCTCAGCAGAAAAAAAGTCCAATGAAAATGTTGCATTAAGCCACTTATCAGGGTTGAGCACATTCGGATAATCCTGCATGCTCAAAGTGGCTCCTGTTATGCAGCTGCTAGTGCACACTTTTGAGAGCTATCTGTTTGTGAAAGTGAAACTATTCACAATTCAACATTAAGTGTGTTCAAGCTGATGCAAAAAGATCTCCACAAGCAGAGGAGGCTTTCTTAGCTTTTCATTTTTCTACAGATCAGGAAGATTGGACTGTCAAAACTTAAAGGAAAGAAGGAATGGAGATGTTGTTCTGCCTGGAATGGCCAGCGACAGAAAGTTAATTTTAGAATAAAAATAGTTGGCAATTGATAAATTCATTAGTTGGAAATTGATTAAACTATTTTACAAGTGAAGTGGCTGTTCATCAGCTGACTCAATGCCTGTGCATGATCTTGAGATTAGTTGTTAGTTCAGTATCTTCTAGACAGACATGGTGCGAATAATTCAGTATTGAAGGAGCTTCTATGGAGGATATACCATGAAAGTTTGTCAGTGAAATCTGCAGACAAATTGGCTAATTACATTAAAAAGTGTCTAAAAAATTAAACTGACAGGAACTATCTTTTGGACTACCATATTTGCTGGACTATAAGCTGCACCTGATTATAAGCTATTATAAGATATTGATTTTTTTACTTGTACATAAGACGCACATGTCCCACATTATAAAAAATGTAGCTCAAAACGTGAGAAGCGAGTCACTGACCAATGAAACGTCTCTCATTACTGTTCTTTGGTTCCCTGTATAGACATGAAGTGAACAATTTATGAGATATTTACACAAATATATTAGAAGTGAGGACTTTTAAACTGTAATTCATCTTCTCTGTAACAAACACATTTTACAAATGCTTTTTTTCTCACTGTCTGTGACCTTTAAATATACCGTAAATACGTTTGTAGTGGTAATGCGCAAATGATCAAAGTATGATAATTATAATTATCCTCTCAATCCGACCTTTGTGAAAATTGTTAATTGCATTTTAATTACATTTTAAGCTTTTATTTCTTTTATGTGTGTGACCGAGCTCAATTTTAGTCAATGTGGATAGGTATACAAAAGTAAATAATTTTTTCTTGCAAGCTTTAAGCTGTGTTCCCACCACCGATGCATGGACGTGCATTGATGGATGCATGGACACTAAATATCAGATGCATGAGTTTAGTCAATCTGACGTACTGCCCTGCGTTGGGGAAAAAACGCTGGAAGGAAGGGGTGTGTACTTCCGCATCGGCAAACACTTTAGCAGTGACTACAGTCACAGTAGAATGTCAACTGAGGGTAAAGACATATGTTCACAAGCGCCGTGTCCCCCATCCTCAATCCTGGTTTAATCCTGGCGTAGCTCATGTTTTGCTTGTTTTCCAAGTATCTTCCTCTTCCTGTTTTGGACCGGCACATGTCCACGTGACCACTTTGCTGCTCTCTGATTGGTTGCTGCCTGTTCCTAGAGCGAGGATTATCAGTGACTCTCATCTCTTGCTTTCGCTGCATGTATCTAGCCACTGTACCCACCAACTCTGCCGTGCCGCAACAGCAAAGTCCATGCCGCAACGTACATGCATTTTCTTGCATGGGCGGACGTCACCATTGACTTTGCATTGAAACTCGACGCAACGCATGATCTAGTGGGAACACAGCCTGAGGTATTAGTTTTCCAAATTCTGACCCACAAAGGTTTCAAATGTTCATCAACAAGTGCTTCAGAAGGTCACACAATGCAATCCGTTAGATTTTGACTATGGTGAGCCACACACAGCACGGCGACAAAGTCCTGTCCTCAGGCAGTTTACTGTGGAGTTTATTTCAGGCAGTGCTAACAAACATTTCACTGTCAGCCCGTTCCATTTCATGTGTGCCTATGCCTGTCCTCCCGGCTGAGCTACTGTGCCGCCTGACATGATTTACTCTGACTGTGGGGTGACCTTGAAAATGAACACAAAACAAACTCACACATGCAATTTTAAAAACCCCAGCTCAAATTATTGCTTCACTCTCACCAAACCTTTCTATGTTGTGTTAACTTCTGCTCACATGTCCGCGCCCCTGCAGGTGAACGTGACAGTGGACTACATCCGAGCTGCGACAGGCCCGGCAGAAGGCACCCCTGCATTTTCAGAGCGTACTTGTGCAACAGTTACTATTGGAGGGATGTAAGTATTTACTTTAATAAACATTAGTTTTTTTGTTGTTGTTCCATTTCTCTCATATTCATAAGCTTCATTATTACAATTACCATTTAAACGCTGCATCAATGGAATGGTGAGAAGTTGACTGCTCTATAAAGAGCAATGTCAAAATTGTTTACTGATGGGCTTTTCGCCATTAAACTAACTACCAAAACAGTGGTTTGTTACAGCTGAGCTTTTGTTGTGATCTAGTATTTTTGTTTCTCTTATTCCATGTTTCTTACTCATTGATTTAGTGTATGGGATAGTGGACAAGTTGTTAGCACTAGGGATTGACCAATAAATCGATTGATTAAATTGGCCCATTTCGCTCTACTTATGGTTTGAGCAGTCTGAAGTGCTAGCCTCTCTTCTATATAACAGATGCTCTGTAGCCCTTGCAACCTGCTGGCCTCACTACCTTCGGGATTTTTACAAGCCACAAGGTTTTCCAGTGCTGCACATTCCTTCAGGAGCCATGGTGCTATCCTGTCAGGACCGGCAGACACATGGTTAGCAACTCATGGTCCAAAGGTGCAGCAAAAGTGGTCGCAGCACAGGGTGGAGCATGACAGGTCACAGCAGCAGAGGTGGAACAAACGCTGGCTAGCTCAAAGCTCAGAGAGCGTGGCTATCTCCCTGTGAATTTGTCTCATATCATCATAAAGTATTGTTCAAGTGTCCCTAAAAAGAATCATGACCCTTGCAAATGTACTGTATTACCAAATGGTCAGTTTTCATTTATGTTAAAAGAGTTTCTTGTTCATATGATAGAGCTTAAAATATGTTATACAACATATATACACACACGAGTATTGCTGCCAGTTTCTTGACAATGGCACAGTCGCAGTTGACTATAAACTATTTTCATTAAATACGTTGTCTACATTTGACACCTGATCATAAAAATAAATGGCAAAAATTGGTTACAAGTCAATTTGTTCCCTAGTTAGCATTCTGAGCAAGAATGTTTCTGGTTTGAATACCACATATGTGTGGAGGTTCTATGTTTCTGCCAGTGCCTCTGAGTTTCCCCAGATTAACAAAACAATTATGGAAATATCAATAAAAAAGGTCAATGCCTCAGGCTGAGGAAATGTTGATCAAACACCAGTGCTGTATTGCCAAGGACGTTCTACCTGCTTGATTTACTGGAACAACCGAACATTAACTGTCTCATGGTGGAGTAAACACAACAATTCTTGAAATCACTGACTTGACTAACCGGTTTTGTAATTTAAAATCTATATTTTGTAGATGATATTTATGCTTTTCTGTGTAGAACTGAGACTTCTGCCTGCCCCTGTCATACACTTGATCTGGAGCAGCCATGTCTAAGGGCTAGTTAGAAAGTGCTGCATTAACTTCAACAATGCTCCCTCCTTGTGCCTCTCTCCACATAAGCAGCATGGGCAAGGATTCTTTTAATCTAGTGTGGAGAGCCAGCAGTTTACTGTGGCCTATGTTCTTTAGCAGTAATATTGATCAGTGCCTATACAATGTAAAGCCCCTCTCCTTTTTATTCTTTGCAGCAACATTGCAGAGGCTTTGGTCAGTAAAGGCCTTGCTACTGTCATCAGATACAGACAGGATGATGACCAGAGATCCTCCCACTATGATGAGCTTTTGGCTGCAGAAGCACGGTGAGAAACGCTTTGTTATAATAAATTACATTGGATTAAACGTCTTATACATTCCTTTTTTTTATTTGACCTTGAAACGTGTCAAATTAGCTTTTATTCTCAAAGTGCTGTTACAATTTAGTACATTTGGTTTGTCAAAAAATTGACTTTATTAGAATGTACTTTGGAGGTAAAATTACAACAATTAAACTACTAACAATCAAATTAATTTAATATCAAATGTAAAAGTAGTTTGAAATTTTACTATTGAGACAACACTACTTATGGAAGTAAATAATCGTTATATATGTAGCACATTTCTTGGACCCAGGTCACACAAAGCGCTTTACAATTTAGTGTTATTTCTTTTCCCTGTACAATGACAGGAGAGTAGTGCACTTTTATTGACTCTATTGAGAATTTGCAACCAGCAGGAATTCTGCCTCCACAATCGCAAATTCATACAGATTGTTAAACAAAAATAATGACTGGAATCAATAGATTCTAAGATGTAAATACATTCATAATTTGCGATTTTGTGAACAAGGCTGTGACGAAATGCTGACATCAAGCCAGGGATCAGCTCACTTACTCAATACTAACCCACTGTATGTCGTCTGATTAGCACCATATTTGAATGGGTAGTTATCGCTGGGGTCTAGGTCTTTAATAGATATGAACATATTTAGGTAATAAACTAATCAAAAATCCAAAAAGTATGACAAAATAGTTTACACTCTGACCTTCATTCTTTATCTTAGCAGTTTTCAATGTTGTCCTCCTTTGGCCTTGCTCTGCTGGGCCATATTTGCACTTAGTCTCTCTTCTTGTCTATTCAGCTCGACCAAAGTCTCCCTCTGTCCCTGATGGGGTTTTATTAAAGCTGATGAGAGATTTCTGTCTATAGCCCAAGATATATTTTTAGATCTTTGCTGCATGAGGCCAATGGCCCACAACCTTCCAGGAACATCAGCTGTACAGTTTAATTTAACATTGCTTGTCCATTCCTGCATAGATAAGTACCATGTGTAGGCAGCACAAAGCAGACAGAGGAAGAAATGGAGGCAAAATCGGAATGTAATTTGAATTTAAAATGTTCTTGTAATATTCTCAATTTATAGTTTATTACAGATGTCATGCTTTTGTGCACCAAAAATAGGTTACCGTTTACAGAAAATAGTTTACAGTAACATAGTATTCGTTCTTCTCTCACACTACACAGAACACTAACAGACTAAAAACCACAATCTTGCACTCGTGTCCAAGTGACAGGTGTTTATAAACTGCAGGTAACTTGGCATACGCTCTATCCATACAGCCACCTTGTGTATTCATACCGTTGCTGTGGAAACTTCTGATGGCCGATGACTTGTGTATTGTGTACAATGAAATTTCATCTGTTATCGTTTGTTTACATATTCGTTTGAAAGGTCATCTTGTCTATTTTGTATGCTTTCTCATTTCCCCAGAGCCAATTAATTGTCCCATTGGTTAATGGTGTGCTATATTTATAATCTATTGCATGTTCTGGACTTAACTGCAGGGCCATCAAGAATGGCAAAGGCCTCCATAGCAAGAAGGAGGTTCCCATCCACAGAGTGGCTGATATTTCTGGGGTAAGTCATAATTTTATAATGTTTTGAAATCCAAAAACATTTCATTGCATATTTTGATTCTTTTGCTGGAGTTCCAGTTGTGATCATTTTAGTTCTCAAAGACTGTCTGCTGAGTGTAAGTGATTTTGTAACATAATCGCTTTTCTGATCATGGCAAATAAATCTATAATACGCATTTTGTTCCCGAAAAACATTTCGAAGTTATTAGCCAAACCCATATTCAGTACAAGTACTGCTTAATTAAAATTACCCCCATAATTAAAAAAGTAAATACAAAAACACCACTGCTACCCTACTTTGCACAAGGAACTCACTGGGTATCAATGTCTTCCGATCTTCTCCTCTTAAAAAATGAGCCCATCAATATTTATCAAGGCATTATGTAATAACCTCTAAAAATGTCCTAAATGCGACTTAGCTTATCATTAGTAATAAAACCCATGACTTTCACAGAAAACAAACACGCTCCAAAGGGGCCAACACATAATTATCTAAGCAATCATGCTAGTTGGCGAGATGCCTTGGCAGTACAGTGGGTGATCAAATACAATTTGTTCACTGCATACATAGTTTGTTCATATTTTTACACTTAATTTGACATCTTTAAAGAATATATGGTCACTGTTGTACATTTTGGAATACTGCTCCTACTGATTAAGCTGCCTAACACAGAACTGCCCGTTTAGGCCCCTGTTTTCTATAGTTTACAGTTGTCCATACCCATTTATCATATAAGTCTGCACATATGTGCCAATCATCTCAATTCAACCTGACAACGTATATCATGTGACAGAAATAAGAAATGAGACCATGACTATAACTGACTATGATATGTGGATGAATTATTTTTAAGTATAGAATAATAGATATGGCTTTGTTAGAGGCATGAAATGTTTGCATATTGTGGTTTATCAAATCAACACATTTTGTGTAAAACAAAAAATGGCCAGCACTGTGCTCACTTTTTCTATGTCCGGTCCATCACCAATAAAAAAAAAAAAGAACATCAGACATAATTAAAAGGTGTGCTCCGTGGTAGGGGTGGTGCTGAAGCTGGTCCAATGGAAAGCCTTAGTGGAGCAGAGAACATTAGCTCTACTGAAGGAAATCATGGACAATGAGGACTTTAGGCTGTCACTCAGTGGAGCAAAATTCAGCAGCAGGCTGCTGTCATAGCAATGTTCCACATACGTGTACCATTAAACTGCACAACCCTCTTGAGGAGAGGGGGAAGGGCAGAAATGGCAAGATCTAATGCAGGTTTTTGCGTTGGTTAAATTTGAACTTAAATAAAACTATGATGTTCAATTTAATATATAATTGTGTTGATGATATGTGTCCCCAATGTATTAGCGTGCAGACAAACTTTAAAGATTAAGCAAGTACATCTATCCATCTGATCTAACATAAAATAATCAGATTAATTATTGTGAAGACCTAGAAGCACTTCATCCTGGCTTGTTAAGTGCCTTGGGGATTGATCAAGGCAACATTTGGCTAATGAAGCTTGATAGGCAGTGCTCTGCAAATGGAATGAAAAGTTCATTTGGTAAAAGTGATTATTATAATATTCCACTGATGTGCTTGCATTTAATGCCCTCTTCTTTTTACCCCAAGTGGCAAAACCCTGGGAGTGCTTTTTGTCTTGTCCGTACTGGTAACCCAGATCTCGCATTCCCCTTAACTCGGTTCCACTAGGCAAAGTACAGCCAGGTAATACAACAAAATGCTTTTCGTCCAAGTTTGTATTTAAATTCCTGATGTTTACCGTTAAGGTATCATGTGAAATTTAAACATATTTTGAGGAAATTTATTTCAACATCAAAGGATCAGAGGTGGAAGTGTGCTGAGGTTCATTGGGCCTCATTCACGAATAACTTCGTAAGAAACCTCTTAAATGTCTTCTCGTTAAGTAGATTTCTAAGAAGTGAGATTCATCAACTCGCTTGTGAGCCTCTGAATTGTTTGCAGCTGTTCTCTCAGATTGATGAATGCCAACTCCTCGTAAGTAGAGCGCGCGTGCCCGGTGCTTCATTAGCATACGTACTTAGCATAGGTAACCGCCCATTAATGCCCATAAAAGGAATTGCAGGGCCGTGTGCAGACGCCAGAGGAAACAGCAACAGGCCTAAAGCAAAGAGTTACACGGAGCAAAAGAGTCACCCTTTTTTCTTCTTTTGCCAGACTGAGAATAAAGTCATAAAATGTTGACTTAAAAGTCGAAAATATTATGAGAATAAAGTTGAACTAGCAAAATTATGAGATTAATCTAAAATATGAGATTAATCTCAAAATGATCTTAATTTAAAAAGATATTATGTATTAATTTAAAAATGAATCTCAAAATGTTTTGAGATTGATCTAAAAATATTTTGGACCCTGGGAGGAGATCCAGCGCGGACCAGCGCTGAGACCAATGCAGACCACTTGTTGTCCACTTGTATTAGGTTTATCTTTTAGCATGCGTTGTGGAAATTCTAATGAGTGAAAGACACAAATATAAAAAACAACCAAGAGCTGTATTGTATTGTATTCTGAACATTGTAAAGCGCTTTGGATGATCTTGGTCTGTAAAATGCGCTTCAAAATAAACTTTACTTACTTACGTATTGTAATTTATTCTTGTATAGCCCTAAATCACAACAGAAGTAATCTCAGAGGACTTAACCAAAACCATTGAAATCACTAACACAGATCAAAGAATCAACAGTTAAAACACAATGAATATAGAACACATGTTGATAAATGTCCATACATGTTGTAGAATGTTAAAGTGTCCTGGATCATCACCACAGTCCTTCTAGTTGGACACTAACTGCCCAACAGACCCTCCTGCATCGGCAAGGAAAAACTCATCAGAAAACCCAGTGGAAAAAAGTGAGAAACCTTGGGGAGACCCATAGTTTGAGAAAGGGGTCCGCTCCTCCCGGACGGACGGGCTATAGATCCAGGACCTAAGCTACAGAACGTGGACCAGTGGCCGTTGAACGTGGACAGGTCCGGTGCAGGACTGAAGCACTCCCGGGCAGGGCAGTCCGCAGGTGTAGATGGAGGAAGCCAGGTCCAGAGGTCCCGTCATCGTACCATGGAACAGACAATGGGACAACGGGTGAATAGCAATGAATAAACTACAGTCAAAATCCTAATAATGCTAAATAGATAAAGTAGGAAGGAGGAGAGGATAGTGCTCAAGTTACCATACTTCTCCCAGCAAATGGACTCCCTATGCAGCTTGACTGACAGTCTGAGGAGTTTAGCCTTCCCTGAGTCTTACCTTCCTAGCCCTATGCTAACTAAAGAGGACCAAAATGACGGGCACTGACATACTTGCAATACCACCCCGGGCCGACGGTGGACCCGGAATAAAAATTAGCCAATGCCAATATAGCATTAGCTGACCTCTCAAAAAAGTCTTTACAGGATGGTCCAAAAGTTGGCTCTTGGCGTGGTGTGTCAATGCTGAGGGGGGTGAATTTTTTTGGACCACTCTAGTTTACTCGCTGTGAATTTTTGAAGTCACTCGTTCAAATGAATGGAGCTCTTGCCGGCTGACGCATGCACAGATGCGTTTTTTCACAATTTTCTTGTGGGTGGGACCACTCGCGGCCATTTTGGATAGCTCCAGTAGAGCACATTTTTTGGCCCATTTGTTTGAACGACGGAGATAGGCGTGACAACGTCCGTTAATATATACAGTCTATGGTTTTAGCCTAGCCACGTAAGGTTGAAGATGCAGCGGACCGTGTCCCACATACGCAGACTCCAAGACCGGACAAAACCTGACCGGACGACAACAACCTAGCTAAATGCTAAGTTGAAAAAGAGTGTTTTAAGCCTGGCCTTAAATGTAGAGACAAATCAAAGTTTGGTTTATTATTTCAGTAAATGTATGCATATACAAGAAATGCAACCGTCAACCGCGTTGCAGGTCCCGAGTAGATCTGCTGACTAATGCTCACTCTTTCCCGCATATAAAGGATGGAACAAACAAAACTCTGACTCAGAGACACCATAGATAGACTCTTAAGTGATAACTGTTGTTCAAAACCCCTCTTAGTTTAGTTTAGTTTATTGTTTATAAAACGGGGACAATGTACAAAAAACCATTAGTCTTTACAAAAGAAGAGATGGTTTTCACCAGATTTAGCTGCAGCTACTTTCCATCTGTAGTCCCTTGGCAGGTGAACACGCATAGATACACCCAGATACACACCACATATGAAAGCAAACTTACCTCACACAAAAATACAATCATATATGCATTAAATGTTTTCCTAAAATGAGATAGCATTGGAAATGTTATTTATTTTAGCCTATTAATGTTCATAAATGTGCTTTTTCAAATTAATAGTAGAATGTTTCTGATCTACAGACAATTTCAGACTGTCCGGAAGCTGGTTCCACTGTTTAATGGCATGACATGAAAAGGCCAATTGTGCAAAAGCCGACAATCTTTTTGGGATCACAGTTTTTGTTAACAGTGGACCGAGTCGATCGAGACATTTGTTCAGGGCAAAGTTTGACAAAGATTTTCAGAGGAGGTGGAGCTAAATTATTTGTGATTTTGAATATGCTTTGTAGATTATTGAATGTAATTAAATTGTCAAAACTCAGCAGTTTAAACCTACTTAAAATATTACAGTGATGGTAGCGAAACAGTTTTTGTCCAGTGCCTTTTAAAGCCTGATGACCTGAGGGGTTTGAGTGCAGTCTCATTGGCCTGAGACCAGCTGGATAAACCGTATGTGATGTGAGGAACAATCATAGTATTGAAATAGGTGAACGCCGCGTCAACTGTCAGACTGTACCTCATATGTCTTAAAGATGATACATTATATTTTATTTATTTACTTACATTTTTTATATGCTTTTTAAATGACGAGGTATTGTCCAAGTAGACCCCCAAGTATTTTGTCTCTAACAATTTTGAGAGCCACTCCATTGACATAGATGCCAGGCATCTAGTTTGTTTTGTGAAAGAACATGCCAAATGTTTTATTTGTGTTTAAAGTTAGGCAAGAGGATTTGAGCCAATTCTCAATTTTGTCTATCGCAAGAGACAACTTTGAGGTCACTTGCTCCATATCCCTGCCATGTGTGTAGATTGCAGCGTCATCTGCATACATAATGACCTCCAGATCTTTGCACACATCAGGAAGTTGATTAATATAAATGCTGAACAACAAGGGCCCCAGGATGGAACCTTGTGGGACTCCTGGAGGACATTGCATTATTTGTTCTTACGCACTGCCTCCGATCTGTAAGGTATGATTTGAACCACTGCAGTCCTTCTGTGGACAGATTACACTGAGCAAGTCTGGAGAGGACGGAAGGGTTTACCGTGTCAAAGGCCTTTTGTAGGTCCACTGTACCCCCCTTATCCAGACTCGCCCGTCAAGTAACAGGCAGTATCAGTGGAATGATGACTACAAAAACCAAACTGCATTGAATGTAAGAAATTATTATAGTTTAGATGTTCCGTTAACTGCTCAATGATTGCCTTTTTCAAGATTTTAGATACTACAGGTAGTATACTAATGGGCCTGTAGTTACTAGTTTCATTTTTGCTGCCGGATTTGTGAATGGGTGATATTACGGTAGTTTTAAAGTCACTGGGGAACACACTTTCATTGATGGATTGATTCACAATTAGGGTAATAGTGGGTGCTAAAGATTCCCTGTGTTTTTTTGAGAGTGCTGTCAAGTACCAAGTAATCTTCGGCCTTAGAGTTGGACAATGATTGTATTATTTATTTGTCTGTTTTAGCAAAATCAATACTGTGAAATTTTAGAGCAGTGCTGGGGATTGATGCAAGTGGTGAGATCACAGTAATGAGTTCTGAAGGTTGTTGTGTGATTTCATTAACAGAATCTGTGAAATAATTGCTCAGGTATTCTCCAACTGAACCATCCTGAATAAAATTACTGGAGGAGGGAAACCAAAGTGCAAGACCATAGATCTAAAAATAGGTAGAAGTTTTATCTATTGTTTGCCACAATTTTTTTGAATTTCCCTTTGCCTGTTTAATTGTATTAAGAATATATGTCGCCCTTGCTTTTCTAAAAACCTGAGTGACTTTGTTTCGAAGTCCATTATATGCTAGTCGAACGGTTAAAAGTCCTGATTTTAACTTTCTTGTGAGCGGAGTCTCTTGTTTTCATCAGTTTCCATAAATCATCATTCATCCAAGGCAGGGGAGTTCTCCCGCTACGCTTGATCTTTGTTACTTTTGAATATTTAGATATAATTTGCTGAACCAGTTCTATAAAGTCCTGGGATAACAAGTTAGTCTTTAGATTCAATAATTTAACTCCAATTAACCTTATTTCCTCATCAAATGGCTAAACATTATTCCTTGGGATGTACGACACAACGTCATTTGATTCTGTTACATTTTTATAACGTGCTTTTGACAGTTTCCTATAGAAACTAGCAACTTCCTAGCAACTCTATTCTGAAGTCTTACTCTTGATACGACGCTGATATTACGAAGAGAAATCAGTATGACCGGACACAGTGACCCTCGGCCCAGATACCAAGCTAGCATCTCCCTCTCTCCTGTCCTTGGCCTTGGCGTCTCTACCATAGACTGTATATATTAACGGACAGAGTCACGCCTATCTCCGCCGTTCTAACTAATGGGCCAAAAAATGTGCTCTACTGGAGCAATACAAAATTGCAGCGAGTGGTCCCGCCCACAAGAAAATTGTGAAAAAACGCATCTGCGCATGCGTCAGCCGGCGCAACTCCATTCATTTGAACGAGAGACTTAAAAAATTCACAGCAAGTAAACTAGAGTGAACCAAAAAAATTCACTCCCCTCAGCATTGACACACATGTGGAACGGAGCTTTGGGCCAAGAGCCAACTTTTGGTCCATCCTGTAAAGACGTTTTTGAGAGGTCTGCCTATGCTATATGTTAGCATTGGCTAATTCTACTTCTGGGTCCACCCCCATCGGCCCGGGGTGGTATTGCAAGCATGTCAGCGCACGTCATTTTGGCCACTTTTGAGCTGGGACCCGCCCCCACTGGTCTCTACAGAACAACAGCTTAACCTTTGTCCCAGAGTGCATAATTCATCATTAGATTCATTCTTAAGTTAAATTGATTTATAATCCCAGTTAGATTTCTACAACACTCGCATGCCGCATGCCTGGTCTGATGAAAAAAAAAAAGAACTGTTTGGCCATATTTACCACCAAACAACCTAGTTCACCTTCTATATGTATAGACTCAGCTTGAGCAGAGTCACAGAAGTTCCTTAAAAGGAGATACCTGTGCCACACATTCAGGGAAATCTAAGCTGCTGGGTGGCGTGAATGTATACAAATCAAATATAATTTACTGCATTTTTTTGGATTGTAAGTTGCACCAGCCAAAAATGCATAATAAATAAGGAAAAAATCATTCCCAAGTCCCACTAGAGTATGTCATATGTATTGAGGAAATCTATTAGATAAAATCCTACACCAAGTATAGAAATTTAATTTTTAAAGGCAATTTTGAATAATAATAGAAGAGAGAACAGGTTGAATAAGTATAATTTATAGGGCGCGTAAACAGAGAAAATATCTGATATGTTACATATTACAGTTGCCAACATTTTGTCTTGTTAAAAGGTTTTAGAATAATTTTAACCGGAGAAATGCCCAAAACTTATTCTATCTAATTGATCGGCTATATTTGCAGGATGTAGCATTTGATGTTGAAAGTAGGGAATTAAATCCTTTATAATTTGTTTATCTTTTGTCTACTTAAATGATTTAAGATTTTTTTTTTTTTTTTTTTTTTTTTTTTTTTTTTTACGGTTTTTAACTACTTGTGTGATTTTATATATCTTGTGCTCTTAATCTGTCTTTTTATGTTTACTTAAATTCTAATGTTTGATGATTTATGCATGATGTTATATGGGTTGTGAGGCGCTTTGCGTTGCCTTGTGTAGGAAAGGCGCTCTATAAATAAACGTTGATTGATTGATTGATTGAAGATTCTAAAACATGAAATGCAAACCTTTATAGTCCTGCTACCATGGGCCAAAAACGATGCATTGTATTCATATTCAGGTTATTCCTATTATTTTTTTCCTTTTTTAGCGGAATGATGGCTAAATCAGTTCAGCTTGTGCATTGTCTGACATACATATGTGTTTTGCAAGTTCTTATTAGTGTCATTAGTTGGTATTGGTGTCATCCTCTCAAGTTCTGGTCATTGTTACTATTTGCAGCTGTGGCTCCTCCCTCGATTCTTTTTTTGAACAGAATGAACTTGCTACACACACTTGTGCAAGCCTTTGCCAGTAGGCGTGTATGCACGTGCAAGCACCAGTCAGTTGTTTGGCTAATGTAATGAGACTTTAAATAAGATACCTAAAATAGCACAAGAAACCCCCCCTTCTCCACCTCTTTTCCCCTTAAGTTTGTGTAATATCCACTTCCGTTCCTTGCTTTGTATATGCAAACGCCGTGCCAAGAACCTATTCCTGACATTGTTGTGTGAGGACATGTATGAAGGGTGTAGAACTCTGCGATTACTAATAAAGCAGCAATAATGTTTGTAAAGGTAAGATACAACATATAAAGGCAGAAGGTGGGAGGAGAGTGAGGGCTCTTGACTCACCTAAAGGTTGCATAATATTGTCCTCTTCTAGGTTCCTCCCTTTTCTGAACCAAGGTCCTCTTCCCCCACACTGCAGGCACTGCTCTGTGAATGGCTGATGTTTAGTATAGTTGTCTCCCACTTGTTGGTTAATTTTAGACTATGCGTGGTAAAGTTCAGGTGCTTCTGTCATTCTGTCACTATATATTCTGTTGGAATCTTGATGCAGTTTTTATGATGATAATTCCACAAGTCACCTTTTTTTGTTTAACAACATACATATACATGATTAATTATTAACACAAGTATATTTTCCCACTAGGAGACACAAAAAGCCAAGCAGTTCCTGCCGTTCCTTCAGCGTGCTGGCCGATCTGAAGCTGTGGTGGAGTACGTCTTCAGTGGCTCTCGTCTCAAGCTCTACATGCCCAAAGAAACCTGCCTCATCACATTCCTCCTAGCTGGTTAGTTTTATTTATTTATTTATTCATAACACCAACAAAGTTGCATATACAGCTCCAGAACAACTATCAAAACCTAAAGCACTATTTCAGGGGTTGATGGAGCTTTTTTTTGCATTATATGTGCTCTGTGGAAAATGTTCAATAAATATTAATGAGAGACATGACCCATTGGTGAGCCGATGAGTGAGTGGGTCTCCTCCTTATTTGCAGCATTTAGGTGCAGAATCCATCTGCTGTAACTTCCATAGAGCAATCATCTCCCCGCGCAAAAAGCGCAAAACTTCTGGACATTCCTAAATCATCTGAAAATGGGCCTGCATAGTTAGTAACGCGCAAAGTGCAATTTACATCTATTTTTTAAGTTTGCCAGTATTAAATGTATTGTGCAGAAATATCACATTCTCCCTAAGAACTTTTACATAATCAATATTAATAACAAAAGCCTGCAGAGATTGAGTAGCCTAAATTAGACAATCAAAATACCTTCTTGGAGAATAAGCTTTAAAATGATGTGAAACATGCCATGGTATCTCATGGGTTATCTCATATGCAACCTATTACAGGCATGATTTTACACACTAAAGGCGCGTTCAGACCAAAGGCTTCAAAAAGCTTTTGACGCGCTTCAACTGACGCCGGGATATTTTTGTCATTTTGGTGCTTGAAGCTCCTGACGCGAGTGACGCCCCTGACGCCAGTGGGGGGAGCTTCTCTGTTGCCGGTAGACAGGACAGCGGTGGATTTTCAGAGAGCAGCGAGCCTTTTTTTGTTATATAAAGCCAAATAACGTTGTTGTGGGGTTTCTACAAAACATGTTCTGGGTTCACCACAGACTTGAGAGGCTGCAGTGTTTGTAGAGTTCTGTCATTTTCAGCGGTACTTCCGCATGTCACTCAGTTTGAGTTCCCAAACCCCGGAGCTCGCCTCCATCTCGCCTCTCCCTGCCTCTCCCTGCCTCTCCCTGCCTCTCCCTGCCTCTCCCTGCCTCTCCCTGCCTCTCCCTGCCTCTCCCTGCCTCCCTCTCCCTGCCTCTCCCCGCCTCTCCCCGCCTCTCCCCGCCTCTCCCCGCCTCTCCCCGCCTCTCCCCGCCTCTCCCCGCCTCTCCCCGCCTCTCCCCCTCTCCCTGCCTCTCCCTGCCTCTCCCTGCCTCTCCCTGCCTCTCCCTGCCTCTCCCTGCCTCTCCCTGCCTCTCCCTGCCTCTCCCTGCCTCTCCCTGCCTCTCCCTGCCTCTCCCCGCCTCTCCCCGCCTCTCCCCGCCTCGCTCTCGCCTCTCGCTCGCCTCTCCCCGGCTCTCGCTCGCCCGCAGCTGCCTCGCTCTCGCTCTGAGCCAGACTCGTCGTCAGCTTGTTCTTATATTAAATTACATTTACTACACAGCATGTGTACAATGATTTTTGTTACTCTCTTATTAAGAACGTTACTACTCATACAAATAATATTACTAATAACAATAATGACAATAAAACAGCAGTAGTTACATGACTTCTCTCCATGACAGAGACAGACCCACAGCTGCTGCTCCTCGTCTCCTGATTGGTTGAAGCCCGCGTCAAAGCTTCAAAAGCTCAGCTTTGCTCAACTTCGGCGTCAAGGGATTGTTTTGAGACGCGAGCGTTACGCGCGTCAAAAGCTTCAAGTGGCGCTCGTATTACTCGCAACTTTTGAAGCTTAATGACCCGCGCCAAGTGACGCCGGGGCACTCGGCTTCACCTGACGCGCTTCACCATTCACTTTCAATGCAAACCTGACGCTTTTGAAGTCTAAGTTAAGTCCGGTGTGAACGCGCATTTAACACATTAAATACAGTAAACACAGATGTTTTCTTTTCTTAGCTATTTCTTAAATTCTACCCTGGTGTTGTTCGTGGACAGGAATTGAATGTCCCCGCAGCTCCAGAGCCACACCTGGGGGGATGCAGATGGCCGAACCCTTCAGTGAAGAGGCCATGCTGTTTACCAAAGAACTGGTGCTGCAAAGAGAGGTAAGAAGTTATCTGGACCTCAAGATTTAAACTGTAGACTATTTGTTTTCTTTTAACTAAATCAGTTACCAAAGAAATGGAATTTAGGTGCAAAAACTCCAAGAGCTATTATAAAAATTTGAATTTATTTATTAGGTTTTTTTCCACATGGCCAAAATGGTGAAATTTAGCCTTGTTTTCCTTATGTGTACACAATAGACCACTCATGCTGCTTTTCACAATTCTCTCTTGCCACTGTTTGGCAATGAAGAGAGCAACTCAATCATTTTATTTTGAGCATTTTATCTAATATTATTTCCCTGAGAATCTCACACACTCCGTAGTGTTGCAATTTAACCCATTGAGGCCGGAAACGCATTCCCGCGTTTCCACCTTCAAGTCGGGAGCACTTCAAACTTTAAGGCTGGGAAAGCGGGACGCGTCTTTTTTTTCTTTTTTTGACCTATTCTCTTCTTTGATCAATTCTCTTTATGTCATCCCATACCTGTGATGAGAATTATCTGCGGATCCGTGGATCCGACTTTTTCTCGCTGAAAATATAATTTCTGTGAAATGTGTGACCACGGGCAGTTGTTTGTGTTACATACTCGAACGGGATTAACATCCTCCGTTCTGACCGCGGGAGAACGGAGGATAGATGCGGATCATAGACGCGCGGACAGAATGATGTACAGTAAGCGCGATCAGGACCATCCCCAGCTTGTTGCTCGTGCGGGTCTCGCCTGTCTCCCCCGTTTCTTCCCCATGTCTCCCCCGTCTCTCCCCCATGTCTCCTCCATGTCTCGTCCATGTCTCCCCCTAGTCTCCTCACGAAGCGCAGCCAAAACTCACTGAATTAAAGGTACCTACAGTACAACAGTAAAATATTGTGAACAAATTCAGCAAAATAAAAAGAACACGACTGTTGTGGTTTGTTTTGTTTGCTTAAGAAAGAGCCCTGAGAGTCATATTTTACTTTTTTGGCTGAGAGTGGATTTTTGTATACATACAGCCACTTTATTGCCAAACTTTTTGACTTTGTATTGAGAAACATTAGCCTGGTCGTACCACACCATAGTACAAATTACATTTTGTACTAAGGTCTGGAGGTGTTCCACTGAGCTCCGTTAACAGGGGGAGGGGTTAACTCCTTTTGCAGATTGAAACGATTGGATCTGAGTTTACTGTCATGTATGTAATAAGCCCCAGTGAGTCGTTAGCATTTAGCATAGCCACCTCCTTTGCTGCTAACAGAGCCCGTGGGGAGTAGGGTTGCTTAAGTTTTATTTTTTTTATCATAAGTTTGACTTGACCTGGTCTCAGTTGAATTACAAAGCAGATTTAAGACTACTGTAAACCCATGCCATACAAGCAAAAACATTTAAACACTTTCACAGCGCCCCAATGCAAATCATGAATATATTCATATATTCAAGAAAGTGTCTTCATATGACATATGCCTGGTGAAGCCCTCACTCTTTACCATCATTAAAATAAAACACACTTTCTGTTTAGCACCTTCTCTTTAGTCTCCCAATATACTAAATCCAAAATAGTTTTAAATAGACTATTCTAAACTAGAATAAACTAGACAAACAGTAAAAATAATAATTTACAAAATATAGAAAGGAAATATTGTCAGTCTGATTCATACCGTCATTAATTTATTTCAAAATCCTCCATTACTAAAGCCATCATGCTGATGTATTGAATACAGAAGAAATAAGGGATGTATTTCTAACACTGATTTCATTCTTGTGTTGCATTCATTCCTCACTTGTTGCCATGGATCTTTTTATCAAATTACTTTGATTGTCTCATAATTACTATAGCATGCCGTAAAGTAGTCCTTGAAGATATGTTTTCAAACCTAGATTATCTGTAACTACATTGTCTTCATTTCTCCTTTATCTATCCTCACTTTAATCTCATTGTTCTGTCTGCATCTCTCAGTAGCTTCTCTGTAGTGTTAATCTCTGACAGACACTGCCCCCATTTCCAGTGTGCATCTGAAATGGCAGTGCGCATTTCTGAAGAAAAGGTGAAACACATTGGTAAACATCATACTCAAGTTATTTCCTTTTTCTTTTTTGCCTCATTCACATCTGATATAAATGCTGTGTTTTCCTGACACTTTCCTGTGTGGCGGTTTATGTGAAGGACACCTGAGGGTAAACCCCAGGATTTTCTTGTCTTGTTTATTTCACAGAACGTTAACTAGTAATATTACCAGGATCTCGTTTGTCAACACCATTACCATGACATCAACCTTCTCTAGCAGCCTCCAGCTGCATCTTACCGCTGAAGGCAATTGTCTAAACTATGCTAAAACATGATCACATAAGGAATGAATCAGTGGTATTCAAGCATTTGTTTTACAGTATTTTAACTGTATTAGTAAAGAAAATAATAATGATAATAATAATATCTCTAATATAATAAAATCTTTATTTGTATAGTACTTTTCAAAAACAATGTTTACAAAGTGCTGCACAGTCAGCATAATAAACAATAAAAACAGTCATGATAATACAAAGTCAGAATAATTAGATGGAATAGTAGACACAGGAAGACAAAGCAGAAGAAACACAAGAAGACAGACAAGACAAAGCAGGCGGTAAAATACAACATGTGAAGTTTAAAACTGACAATTAATAGCTGTTCGATAAAGGTTGTATGCTGTCGGGCTTATGTTCCATGATGGATGGCAGGTGTCCTCTCAGGCAGGCCAAGCGTGCCGCTGCCGGGCTGTTGCTGAGGCAAAAACCCAGGACTGGGAGGAGTTTGGAAGGTCCATGTAGCATGACTATGGGTCAGCCTATGGGCAAACCGTCCGGCGTCTCAAGAGGGGGAAGCTGACCTCGACTGGGCATATTGTTGGGAAGTGGACAGAATACTTTGAGGTTCTCTTCAATCCCGTCATGGCCTCAGTCTCGGTGGTAGAGGCTGAGGTAGATACTTCCTTCTCCCTGGCTGAAGTCACCAATGTGGTTGGCGGCGTCCTCGGTGGCAAGGCTCCGGGATGGATGAGATCCGTCCTTACTATAAGGGGTGTCAAACTCATTTTGGTCCGGGGGCCAAATAAAACCTAATTGGATCTCAACTGGGCCGGACCAGAAGATGCTCTACAAAAATACCCAAAAACGGTACAATGTCCAACTTTTTGTGCACTTAAACACATTTATTTAAAACTTCCTTTAAACCACTCTCCTTTAATACTCAGTTTTAACTGTAAACTTGCTCGCAAAGGTAAAGTAGGTAGATAGAAAAAAGCACTTTAACACAGCATCTCAGCTTAACCATCTTCAGTATGGTAAGGTCCATGGTTATGTTATTATCAGAGAAAAGGCATCAAACGGACCATAATTCAGTTGAAATGAACAAAACAACTTCCATAACGGGATCTATTCTTAAGGACTTGCAACCCCGGGTTCTCTGTGTAAAATACTGTCAAATGTCCAAATATCATCACCTCCAATTGCAGCTTTGTCACAACACCTGTCTTCACCATCAGTAAGAGGCTGAGAGCGTAGGACCAGTCCACACTGTCCAATGCACCAGCAACAGCACCAGCAACAACAGCAGCGCTCAAAACTCCTCTGTGATAGTTTCAGTAACACCACAAATGAATATGCAACATCAGTAACATCAGTCTCTCATCAATGGCAACATGTGACAGCGTGTGGTTTCTCAGGACACAGTCTGCAGCTGCTATGAGAGTTTTAACAAACTCTCTCTCATAAGCCACCTGTTGTTAGCACTCAGGTAGCTTGTCTTTACAGTAGCATCACTAACCTCTCGCTCTGGGCACAAACGGACTGCTGTTTCTTCAGGGCCAGACACGTTTATCTTCTGTCTTCTCAATTCTCCGCTAAAAGAGCCGTATTTTTCAGAGTCTCGTAGTTTAAGATGATATTCCTTCAGCACCGCCACTTGTTGCATGACACCAAGCATAATTTAATTTACCTCCGCGAACAAATAATACTACACTTTTTTTTGGAAAAACCTGACACTCGATGTCCACTTTTCATTTTTTGACAGACATTTTGCTGAGGGTGTCAGTCACAGAACACGCTCTGGTGGAGCCACTACAGACTCACTCGACTAGCTGCTGAGCTCAGCAGCGCGTGGCGTCGCAGAGCCTCGTGTTGCGGTGCGGCACAGATTTTTTATTATTTTATTATTATAATTTTATATAAAAGAGCCGCGGGCCGTGTCAAATCTCTTGGGCCGCATGAATGACACCCCTGATCTAAAGTCTCTGGATGTTGTAGGACTGTCTTTGCTGACATGTCTCTGCAACATTGTGTGGCAGTCGGGAGCGGTGCCAATGGAATGGCAGACCGGGGTGGTGGTCCCTCTCTACAAGAAACGGGGCCAGAGGATGTGTTCCAGTTATCATGGTATTACACTTCTCAGCCTCCCCGGTAAGGTCCACTCCAAGGTACTGAGACTGTGTTTGATGACAAATCCCAAATTCAGGAAGAGCAGTGTGGTTTTTGTCCCGGTTGGGAACACTAGACCAGCTCTTTATGCTTCATGGGGTACTCGAGGGTTCATGGGTGTTTGCCCAACCTGTCCACATATGACGTTTGTGTTCCCTGGGGTGTCCTTTAGGGGGTTCTCTTGGAGCACGGGGCACTTTTTTGGACACCCCAAGACCGTTAACTTGGCACTTTTCTTTCACTCAATACTACTGTAGCCACATCTTCCCTGGGCACACCCTGGGCTAACCCTAACAGAAGTGAGGCATGAACTTGCTTGATACCCAGAGGGCAGATTGGAAAATTCTACAAACTTTGAGCCAAAATCTGACTTTTCTCTGGTCACCTCATTGAAGGTATTCAAATACACTTTTCAGGGACGATCATGTTGACGTTTTATATTTGTACAAAGCTGTTCCCACCTGAAGCCAATGCATGCTAATCAAAACAGCTAGCACTAGCGATTGCTGTAAAGGGGTCCGCACCGCAAGATCTGTTTTGCGCAATCTGTATGAAGCCTCTAGCAATTGGTTTCTG